CCAACACTTTCCAAATTAAGCAATCTTAAAGAGTGAATATGGCTATGTGTGGTGGGATGTATGCACCTGGAAATTAATTATTTGTTTAAGGCTATGTGGAATGGGATTTATTGAGTGGAATTGGACAGTAAGTATTTTAATTCTGAGTTCTTATGCATAATCATAATTCTGCTCAATTAGTCGTGTTAGACCCTGAAACTGGGCCCTTAGCGTTGGCCCAATGCCCTCTTGACATCCAAGTATGCGCTACAGGCTTCACTCAGCCCAGCTCCCTTTTGCTTTCAACGTGCAGGCTCACAAAATGTTGAATGGGCCTGTTGTCAATTGGGCTTCGCGCATAACCAAACGTTGGTTCATTTTTATTCTATTGTTTCTTAAGGTTAAGTTTTATGTTTGCCTTGATTGAATTCAAATCACGTTAAGCCTTTAGCTAATTAATTAGACTCCTTTAATAGTTGAGGTGAGCCATATTAAAAAAGACATAGTTTATGGCCCTCAAAGTTTAGTTTGAGTTTTCCTTTAAAATTGGAATTTAGGTGTGCCGTGCCAAATAAAATCTCAAATGCATGGCCCTCGCTTAATTAATTTTAATCCTTAGCAATCGAGGCGTGCCATTTAGTTGAATTTTCCATGCCCCTCGCAAAGTTGAAAGTGCGTAGTTGCTTTAGGCGCGCTATTTTAAAAAAATTACTTTCCTAAACTCGGGTGTGCATTTCATATGACCCAAATCCAAATCTCAACAACGTTAAATAAAACGTGTCGCGGACCGCGGGTGCATTTCATGTGGCGTGGTTCAAAGACGTATTTTAGATAACGTTCAATTTTCTTAAAATTAATTAAAAGCGACTAATAAGTAAAAAATATACCATAGGCTCAAACATGTAATAAAATCATATAATAGGCCAATTATGATAGTTTAAGCGACCGTGCTAGAACCACGGAATCCGGAGGTGCCTAATACCTTCCCTCGGGTTAACAGAATTCCTTGTTCAGAATTTCTGGTTCGCAGACTTCAAAAGGAAAGTTGAATTTCCTCGATTTGGGATTCAAAATAATCGGTGACTTGGGAAACCAAATAAACCATCCCAAGTGGCGACTCTAAACAAAAAATGAATAAATAATCCCATTTCGAATAATTTCACTTAAATTGGAAAAACTTCCTTGTACTACCTTCGGGTGTGTAAAAAGGAGGTGTGACAGTCTCTATCTTTGGTGTGAGGGCACATGATTTGCGAAGGAAAGGTAATGTCTTTGGCCTCTGTGTTAGAGTAAGTGAGCATGTTATGAAACATACGTGGTTCTCGTGAGTCGAGTCTTGAGGCGAGGATGTTATGGCATGGTGCTTAGTCTGTTTTAAATATTCTTGGCTTGATGAGTTAGGGGAGTTATCTGATAAGAAGGTCGTCTCTATTTGAAATGTAGTTTGATTACTCGAGGACGAGCAATGGTTTAAGTGTGGGTTGTTGATGGTAGGCTAGAATACAAGTTGTTGGCTACTTTACACCTATTATTTGTTACACTTTAATTTTATTTGAGTTAAAATATAGACAATTTATACTCATTATGTATTTTGTTGTGTGGGTTGAGATTCCGGGCTAGACAAATTTTTGGAGCTAAATTAAATAAAAATGGAACTTTGATGTCTGAGTAAAAGTTAGAGAGTTAAGCTAGGATCAAATTCAAAAGGCGAGGTCCGCATGCTCGTATAAAAAATAAAAGGAAAAGGAAAAAAACATTGAAGGCCAACTAAATGGTATCATAGTATGTTGGAGAACGTGACATAAGGTGGCTTGCTAACAATTCATTAGAAGCAAAGATTTGAAGCCTAAATAATTGAGGCCTAATATAACGTATCGGATGTCATGTCTACATGGAGGCTGCCTATGTACAAGCAGAAACGAACATCACTGTGAAAATCTCCACAGCTGCATCGCACGGGGCACGGAGCGGCTGTACAAATTGGCCAACTCTGATAGAATTCAGCTCTCTAAACTTTTCCACTAGCGCCCCGCATGGGGCGGTGCATGGCGCGATGCGCCTGTGTGATTTTCTCAGAGTAACTTTCCTGTTTCGGCTTGGAAAAGGTAATTTTACCTGGGCCCATTCCTACAGGGTATAAATATAAAATAAAAATAAAAAGATGTTTTTGAAGGGACTTTTGACCTTGGAAACTTTGGGAGAGCATCGGAGGCAACAAGACACATGATTTCATCATCTTTCCATCAATTGAATACGGGAGTTTGGATTGTAACCTTAAATTGATGTTTTCTCATTCCTTAATTATATTTGTGATGACTTCCTCCATGATTATGGAGTAGTTTACCTTAGGTTTGACGGATATGGTATTTTGATAAATATATTTGTGGATTTTAACTCTAGTTGTGCTGGAATTCGTTTATGAAGTTTTGAATTGTTGCAACTTTATTCACCCGTTTATTTAATCGAAAGAAGAATATTTTTGTGATTATCTTTGCATTATTTTGTTGATTAAATTTATTGATTCTCTTAAGTAATCGAAAGTGCTTGTTGAATTGTTGATTGAATCAAGTTAGGAGAATATTCGGGAGACGTTTTCCTAAGGACCAATCTATTAACGCATGCTTGCATACTTCACAGTGCTTTTATTAGTTCACCTCGTAGAGTTAAGATTTAATCGAGAGAGGAGTCTTGACTACACGTTTGAACTAATCATCAAGTGAATTCGTGAGAGTCAGTAGCACATTAGAGTGAACTAAACTAGAGTTAAATCACAAATAGCTATCTTACACCTATCCTGTCAAACCCTTATTCCTCGCATTGATAAGAAACCACTCTGCGAATCTCCAATTCCTTGCCGTCAATTTTCAATTGTGTTATTTTAGTAGTTAAGTTTAGTTCATAATCTGTTAACTCAATTGTTGATCCTCCTGAATAGCAATTAATCCAGAAATTACTCGAACAATGTTTAAATCCACTCCCTGCGGAGACGATATTATACTATACTATCTTTAATTAGCGAGCATCAATTTCGTGTTGTGTTTTGCGCTCGTCAAAGAGACACTCTCATAAGGCATGAGATTACCAGCAAAGTTAGCAAAGCCCAAGAGAGGTGGATAATGTAGGGAAGCAGAGATCTGGGATTGTTTCAATAAGATCATCAGTTGGGAGTATTGATCCTTGGTAAGGCCAGGTATGACATAAGACTAGACATTCTCAACAGGACCATCAGAACCACAGGGCATAGAAGAAGCACCAGAAGAGTTATCCTCAACATGTGCAGCAGTTCTACGAGGGGGAGGTCCTCTGTTGAACTTGAAATTAGGAGAATATCCATGCAATTTATAGCATTTATCTATAGTAAGCCCAGGCTTCTCGCAATACTTGCATATGACAGAAGATTTGGCAGCCTTAAAAGAGAATTTGGAAGGGAAAGTAGGCTTAGAAGTCCCAACATTAAAGGAGGTAGAGTTTGTAGAGAATTGGGAGGCAGAAGACACTTGTCTCTACTTCTCATCAGATGATAAAATGCTATACACATTCACAACAGATGGGAGGACTTTCATCATTAAGATGTTGCTCCTAGTTTGCATGTAGGTATCATTCAGACCCATAAGAAATTGGTAAACCTTCTGCTCTTTATCCTCAGCAGCCTTACCCCCACAAGTACAAACTCTGACCTTATAAGAAGCTATTTCATCCCATAGTTGTTTAATTTTGTTGTAAGTAAGAAGCTATGTCTAAAGACCCTTGAGAAAATGTGCTAACGCTTTCTTAAGTTCAGAAACTCTGGCCCCATCAACCTTACCATACCTCTCCTCTAATTCACACCAAATATCCTTGGCAGACTCAAAATATTCCTACACTACAAGATATTTTTTTTGATAGGGAATTAATCAACCATGAAACCACAAGATCATTATAATGTTGCCATTGGCGTGCCAAAGGAGATCCTGGAGAAGGTCTGGCAGAGGTGCCATTAATAAATCAAGCTTATTACGAATGGAGAGAGCAACCAGAATATTTCTCCTCCAGCTGCCATAGCAGCTTCCATCAAATAGACTAGAAACCAAAAAGTTCCCAGCACATCTGACGGATGTACATACAATGGGTGACAAGGATGTGTATAGTCATCCTCGTAAAAAATAGCACGAGATGTAACAGAGGAAGAAGGTGTAACTATCAGATTATCATTCGTCATTGAGAAAGTTCTTAGCAATAAGAGACAAACAACATGCAAAATGATATAATAGAAGAATAGAACAAATTTACCCCCCCCCCCCACCCCTCCTCTTTTGCAACGAAAAGAGAATAACCTAGTAAACAAAATTCCGGCCACTCATCAATCACCGACAAAACCCTAGCTCGAAACGAATCAACAAAATTCAACCCAGGAACAGTCAGATAGCCAGAGAAGTGGTGAAGACGAACAGGAGGAGCGATAAACAAGACAAAATCCTTAGAACAGAAAACCCCCCAAATCGGTGCGAGTACTGTCAAAATGAAAAGACCGAGGAAAACTGCTAAGGGTAACATAGATCGGAAGCGGATGAGACGATCTACCAAAATCTATGCTCTGATACCATGTTAAATATCGAAACATACATTGCAATTGACAAAATCTAACTAGGGTTCATGAGGATCTGAGAGAAGGTTCGAGAGAACTTTTGATGTTATCAATTAGAAAACAAAAATATGTACAATAAAGTATCAGTCTCTACTATTAATAGTGGGCCTGGCCCGGTAGGCTTACTATATAAATATTACAAGTGGGCTCACTATAAATATGAGCCTAAATAATAATGTGGCCCAAATAATCAGCCTACATCTAATAGTTTAACAAGCACAACGGCAACTATCCTTTTCAAATAAAAACACATCATATTTCGATGGGATTAATTATTTTTCAAATCAATTATCAAATAGTTTCGCTTGTAGAAGGAGAAACATAATCCCTATCTAATTTCGTTGTAGCTAAGAAAATAACCGGCAACCTCCAAGTTCCCAAGCTAGCTAATACAGGCCAGAAAAAAAAAGAGAAATATTGTTATACACTTTAAGCAAATTATGTGATTAAATCAGGATATATATACATTTTTCATAGACATAATTTGAGGTAGAAAAGATGTACTAATAATTAATTAGCATGCTGGTGGGTTATTTTTCCCATTCAATATTGTTTTAGCATTTTGACAAGTTGCAGGCAAAAGAGGTCCAATTGGACCAACTGGAGCTAGATCAATGTCAACCAATTCAACTCCTTCACATGGAAGTGCTTCACTGCAATTGAGTGCCACCGGAATTTTTGAAGTTGTTGTTCCTCTTATGTTCTTGAAGTGAATATCCACTAGTTTCACTCTAGATGGCTATACCAAAAAAAGAAAAAAGGAAAAAAAATTATGTTACTGACATTGATTTAAAATATATATATATATATATATATATATATATATATATATGTGTGTGTGTGTGTGTGTGTGTGTGTGTGTGTGTACTCAAAGTCTCAAATCCATGTGAATACCAAGTTCTAGAGGCGGAGTCAGAATTGCACATATTTAATAATTTCTAAATTTAAAGAAAAATAAAGGGGCACACCGACCTCACTGTCACAAATTATGATGTAGGCTCGACTACTTGGGCTGGCCTTAGATGGGCACCCCTACAAAGTGCCATTAAGGTCACCAGCCTAGGAGATGGGCCGTTTTGATCACCCAATGACCCCGTTCAGACAAGTAACGAATTTCATAGATAATAGCAATTAAATTGCTACCAAACTCAGCCGAACCCATAAGCTTTACTCTAGTTCCGCGTATAGCAATTATTGTACGGTAACATACAATAATTTAAGTTTCAAGAGACAGTCCAATGACTAAGAGGTCACAATTCGAACTATATTACTGTTTGAGATGTTAATGGCCTCCTCATCACTGTTGTCCCACACAATAAAAAAATATCTAATGAATTTCTATTCTTTTTAAAAAATAAAATAAAGGGGAACGCAAGCTCTCACTATCACTAATTATGATGTAGGCTCGACAACTTAAGCTCACCTTAGATGGGCATGCCTCCAAAGTACAATAGAGGTCACCAGCCTAGGATATAAGTCTTTTTGATCATCCATTAACCTATTTCAGATAACTAATGCATTTTTTAACGATAAATATAGGGCTTACACCGAAGCAATTAGGTTCGGCTAAACCGGAAAGCTTACTCTAGTTCTCTATATGGCAAGTACTTATTGTGTATTAATATACAATAATTTGCGTTTCGAGATATAGTCCAATGATTAAGACATCACAATTCGAACTCTATTATTATTTTAGATGCTAATCACCTCCTCGTTACTGTTGTCCACCAGTGGCGAAGCCACATGGTCATAAGGTTGGTCAGTTGACCACCCTTCATAGAAAAATTGTATTGTTTATATAGGTAAAATATTACGTTTTAGAGGTATATAACACATATTGAACACCCTTGGTCAGAAATTATTTTTACTTCTTTTAAATTTGGATACCCTTAGGGAAATTCCTAACTTCGCCACTGTTGTCCACACAGAGAAAAAGTACTTGAGATAGTAGTAATTACCTCATTCCTGTTCTTGGAATGATAGTGTTGATCAATAACGATTGGATTTTTGACATTATCTAGGATTATATCTTCATAAACAACACCAGAAACTTGTAGTGAAGGTGAGCCCATATAAGTTTTGATTCTTGCACCATTTGTTGTGCCACGGAATGTACAATTTCTTACTGTAACTCCTTTAACGTCTGTTTCATCTAATCTTTTCCCAAGGCTGCCAATACTGCACAAAAAATATTAAAACAAAAAAACTTCATAAATATTTTAAACGTCTAAATTCATGATATTAAGACTGGTAGAAGAATGCACAATTTTTTTTTTTTTTTTGGTTTCCCCATTTGGTGTCCCGTATCTTCATTGGGACCCAACTAATCCGGGTTCACAAGCCTAACTAGTGCTGATTCGCGCAGATAAGTCCCACATTGAGGGGTAAAGTGCTTCATAACAAAGGCGGCTCAATTCCAAGGGCATTGAGTCTGGAATTTTTGGTTAAAGATGGATGTGTATTTATCATTATTTTTTTAAACAACTGTACTAGTTACTACTCCGCCACAACATTTGAGGTAAGAAACCACAACTCGGATTGTTATATCACAAGTTCAAGCCATTGAAAAAAATAAATCGAAGCGCATAATCTTAAAATATATTGAAACTAACCTTATACCATGTCCCGGGCCACAATTTATATTAGAGATATAAACATTAGAATTGCCATCTCCAATACTAATGCAATCATCACCTGTTTCAGTATCGAAGCCAGAAATTTCAATGAGGGTATTCAAAATTTAATTTATATGTAAAAAAATTAATATTTAACCTATATATACAGTATAATTGAACACCCTTCAATGTATGTGGCTACGACGACTGACCTGTTCCAATGGTGCTATCAGTGACATTAACATTAATAGTTTCACTAATATGAAGACCATCAGTGTTTGGACTATCTCCTGGAGCTGTAATTATGATATTTGAAACTGAGATATCACTGCTATCGGTGATTTTCAAGTGGACACCTTTGGCATCCACAAAATTGAGGTTCTTGATCGAAGAACTTCGCACTGTCTGAAATACAAGAGACTACAAAACCAAAAACAAACCACAAATTAACTTGATTTAATCATAAAATTTTGTCACAAACGACAACCTAATGATCAAAATCAAGGTTATACTTCGAATAGGGGTTAATTTTCGCAAATGGTTATCCAACTCATCACCATCATACCCAGTATAATCCCACATGTGGGGTCTGGGGAGAGTAATATGTACGCGGACCTTACCCCTACCTGGAGAGATAGAGAGGTTGTTTCCGATAGACCCTCGGCTCAAGAACGTGTGGAGAGAAAGAGAAGGGAGAGCAAATGGTTATCCAACTATTACTTTATATTGCATCAAGTCATAAAACTAGTTTTTTTTTTATATAAAAAAATAAAAATAAAAATGTAACTCGACTATACCAATAACAAAAGATATTTTTAAAAAAAAAAAAAACTAACACCGAAAACTCCTAAATTCGGTCCTTAAAACGGAAGTTGCTAGGTTGCTGATACTTCAACAATTTACCTTAAAAAATATCTACGTGACACCACTTAAAAAGGATAAATAACTCATTTTTTGAACCGTTTAAGAAAAACACTCATGATGTGTCACATGGTGAAAGATATAGGAGTTTAGGTTGGGATCAAAAAATCATTTTTTTAGGTGCCGGCATCACGTTGATATTATACGTGTAATGTGAGTTGCAAAATAACTACATTTATATTTTTTTTAATCATTCAGTATCTGAAGTTTACTGACTCGATGGATCCTGAATGGTTCTGCATCAAGTCCAGTTAAAGGGAACCGCTCCACACCAAGAATTTCATTATTCCTAATGCTCGAACTCGAGACCGCTAGTTAGGGCTAGAGAGATTTCATCCTACCATCACCACCACAATCCGTGGTGGATATGACAATTTCATGCATGAGGCAATCTAATGTGTTTCGGGATCAACTTTATGTATTTTCAACTTTTTTTATATTGTCTAATATACAATTGAGTTATTTTTATTTTATCTTGTTACGAAAGTTTCGGACTTGGGATAAAAAAATTAAAAGTTGAACGACCATCTGTAAAATTATCCATCGAGTTAAACATTTCCACTTACAGAGGGAAGAGGAGGAGTACTTCCAGATTTATCAGCAAATTGCCAACTCGATTTTCCTTGTCCATTTAGAGTTCCTCCACCAGTAATAACAATACCATCAACATGTTCGATAGAAATCCAAGCTGCTCTTGTGTACAAACTCATGTCAGTATTTGACAACAAAGTTCCTTGAATTTCAATAGTAATTGGCCTAGGACTTGTGCATGGTCCTTGAAATATAGTTTCTCCTGTAGTAAATGTTCCTGGAGGAATAACAACTTTGGCTGGTCCTGGTGATTGGCAAGCTGATCTCCATGCCATCATAAGTCCCTGCGTGTAGTGGCGGAGCCAGAAATTTCATTAACTAATGTCAAAATATAAAAAAATGAACACACAAATAAGTTTAAAAAATTGAAACATGTAATATATATACAGAGAAACATAGGCGACCTAGGTTTTGAAGTTTATGAGTTTTAACAACCCCATCGAATCCACAAACACATATATAGAGTCTGGGCTAAAGCTATTGGGTTCTGCCGAACTCGTACCATATATTCCTGCATAGAAATACTTTTGATCGATGTAGCTACACAATGTAATTTTTCAATGAAAATGTGTCAATTGACAACCTGTTGATTAAGGTGGCTCCGACACTGCCTGCAGATGCAATAGTTCTAGCCTTATAAATCATATATTTGTCTCTAATATCTTCAACCCAAATAAGCAGTTAATTATCTAATAAAATGTTTCAGCTTAGCATATAAGTCCTAGAGATTTATAAAAATGGAATTTGACCATCGGAGCTAATTATAGGGGTTTCAGGAGCGGAATTATATGGTTCGAAGGGGGTTCAATTGAATAACTAACATAATTATTCAGAAAATTATGTTGCACGAAAAGAGTAAAATAATTTTTTATACATACATATATAAGTTGTTAGATTCTCTTGACATAACTCAAAAGTTGTTCTATGTCGCAGGTTCAAGTTCCTCGTATAACATTCTTGCATAATTTTTGAATGCTCTATGGAAGAATGTGTTGCTGTAGAAATATGAAAAAATTAAAATCTTAAATCGAACGCTTAGTATGAATGGTATGAATGGCCTAAACAAGAATTCTGAAACATCAAATTCAACCAGTTAAAATATTTACGACCAAGTTTATTCCATACTGGATCAGGTCAGAATAGGGTTATATACAATCTCGTTATGAGATGTGATCATTAGGGCCTATCTATTAAGAATTTTAAAAGCTTATCGTAAAGGTAAAATGGAAAGCCTGAGTTAAATTGCTTCCAATTATAAAAGTGTTGCCTATCCCTTTCTTATGACTTTGGCGAACTTTCTTCATCCCTCTTTTATCCCGGTCATCGGAGAAAAAAGAATTGTATCATATAAACTGGAACGAAAAAAATACTTATTATTGTTATTTGATTCTAAACTTACCCTAGTGCTATCTGCAGGGGTATTTGGTGTAGCTCCAAACCTTGTAACATCAAAAACTGTCTCTACAAGGCCACGACGTGAACCAAAAGATGCACATTCAGCAACTTTTGACAAAATGGCTATACCCAAAAGTAAAAACAATAATTCTTTTGGAATAGCCATTGTGGTGGCCTAAAGAAAATGAAAAAGTATTTTAGAAAAGTGGGCAAATTAAATAAGGAAAAAAAATGCCCTGTGATGGGTAATAACCATCTCTATATGCCATTTATATCAATTCTCTTTTACCATTCAAAAATTATTGGCTCGTATTAGTTTGTTTTTTCTATTTATTGTTTTTTCCTCAATTGTAGGAAACTTCAAACTGAGAGATCGTTATGTGCTTTCATCCGTTTATTCAATGGATTTTTTGATGTTTCATTTAAGTGGAATTTTATAGAGTATACTAATAATTAAAGTTAAGAAATTCACCATAAATAAAGAACAGAAAATAATTCGTATGACATTTGGACTTTGGGAAATATTTCTCTCCCCCCCCCCCCCCCCC